CATCTGAGATTATAATGTAGGTTTTGTCTTTCAATTTGTTTATATGGCGGATTATAGTGACAGATATCCCTATGTTACACCAATATATGAACCCTACCTACATCTCTGGAATGAAGCCTACTTGGCATGGTGGATGGTTTTCTTTTTTCTTTTTTTGATGTATTTTTGTATTTGGTTTGCCAATATTCTATTGAGTATTTTTCCATCAATGTTCTTGAGGCGGGTTAGTTGGGCTATAATTCTCTTTTTGTTTCATCTTTGTGTGGTTTGGGTATCAAAGTAACTGTAGCCTCATAAAAAGAGTTTGGTAATATTCCTCTGTTTCTATTGTGTGGATGAATTTGAGTAGTATTTTTATTAGCTCTTCTTTGAATTTCTGGTAGAATTTTGTGTTGAAACCATCTGGCCATGGAAGTTTTTTGGTTGGGAGACTTTTAATGCCTGTTTCTATTTCCTTAGTGGTAATAGGTTTTTAAAAATTGTTTATCTGGTCTTGATTTAATTTTGGTATGTGGTACCTACCCAGAAAATTGTTCAATTATTTTAGATGCTCTAATTTTTTGGAGTACAGGTTTTTGAAGTGTGACCTGATGCAACTTTGGATTTTCTCAGTGTCTGTTGTTATCTTCCCCCTTTTATTTCTGATTTTGTTAATTTGGATATTCTTTCTCTGCCTTTTGGTTAGTTTGGATAAGAGTTGGTCAGTCTTGTAGATTTTCTCCAGATACAGAGGTTATTCCAATTTTTTTGTATCTGTTGAGCTTTGCTTAGTGACTCAATATGTAGTCAGTTTGAGAGAAGGTTCCATGAGGTGCTGAGAAGAAGGTATATTCTTTTGTGTTTGGGTGAAATGTTCTATAGATGTATGTTAAGTTTGTTGAGCCATAACATCTATTAGTCCCCTTGTTTCTTTATTAATTTTCTGTCCCACAGCCCTGTCCATTGGTGAGAGTGGGATGCTGAAGTCTCCCATTATTAGTTTGTGGGGTTTGGTGTGTGCTTTAAGCTTTAGTAATCTTTCTTTCCCAAATGTACATGCCCCTGTATTGTGGACATAGGTGTTCAGAATGGAGACTTCATCTTGATGGATTTTCCCTGTGATGAATATGAAATGTCCTTTTTTATTGATTAATTTTAGTTTGTAGTCTGTTTTGTTAGATACTAGGCTATCTATACCAGCTTGTTTCTTAGGTCCATTTCCTAACCCTTTACTCTGAGGTAATGTCTGTCTTTGAAGTTGAGGTGTGTTTCTTGTATGCTGCAGAAGTATGGATCCTGTTTTCATACCAAATCTGTTAGCCTGTGTCTTTATATAGACAAATTGATGCTGTCAATATTAAGAGATAATTAATGACCAGTGTTTATTTTTTCCTCTTATTTTTGGTTTTGTTGTTGTTTGTGGTGGTGGTATTGTGTGAGTTTCTTTTCTTTGGCTTTTGCTTGTCTGAGATTATATATTGCCTGTGTTATTGGGGGGTGTTGCTAACTTCCTTGGGATAGAGTTTTTCTTCTACTGCTTTCTATTATGGTTGGATTTGTGGATATTGTTTAAATCTTAAATATTTGTCTGGGATATCTTGTTTTCTCTCTCGTGATTGAGAGCTTTGCTGGGTATAGTTGGTGCAGTTGGTACTTGTGCCCCTAGAGGTTATTATTTGAATTGATGCAGTTGGTACTTGTGCCCCTAGAGGTTATTCTTTGAATTGATGCAGTTGGTACTTGTGCCCCTAGAGGTTATTCTTTGAATTGATGCAGTTGGTACTTGTGCCCCTAGAGGTTATTCTTTGAATTGATGCAGTTGGTACTTGTGCCCCTAGAGGTTATTCTTTGAATTGATGCAGATGGTAGTTGTGCCTCTAGGGGATGCTGATCATTCAGGGATGTTTGGCCAGAGGGACGGTAGTAGGATTGGGTGACTGAGTGGGTTTTGTAGTTTACAGTGTACATTCAGTGGCGGTGGCAGTGGACTGGCCTGCCTGTGGGACTTTTACCTGCTGTCTGCTTGCTGGGGCTGAGATAGGAGGGGAAAGAACATGGGATGTGCCCTGGGATTTATGGCCTAGGGATTGGAGCAGTTTAGCTGGGAGTCCAGTCACTCACCTCTTCTTCCACGTGGTGCTGGTGGAGCTTGTGCATCTAGGGCCTGCTGCTCGTGTGTGTGTGTGTGTGTGTGTGTGTGTGTGTGTGTGTATCTGGGGTGTTAGGCCAGGGAGAGGGTAGTGGGTTTGTTGGTTTGCACGGCTGAGTGGGTCTTGTAGCTTACTTTGTCTGATGGGTGGCTGGGGTAGTGGAGGGGCCTGCTAGCAGGACTCTTACCTGCTGGCTGCCTCCATATCTTGTCTCTTAAAGGATATACCTGTTTTCTGTAATAGTAAGAATTAACTCCTAGTTAAAGATATCTTAGTGTAGTGAGTGCCAAGAATGTAGCTCAGTGTTAGATAGTTTAACTGACCTGTATAAAGTCCTGGGTTTTATTCCAAGTACCAGAATAATTTAAAGGTGTTTTGAAGATTTTAATCTTTCAGTGGAAATTTTCATTTATATAAAGGTCAATGTCAAAGGTTAGAATAAAATTTTAATATGTTTTCATGCATTGGCTTGTCAGTGTCCTCTTAATGAACTTTAAAAATATTTTTTGCTATTTACCCATTAGATAATATAAATTATTTATGTTTTTATGGTAATACCCTTTTCAAAAACTCTTGGACAATTTCATACTTGTATATAATGTCTTTTATTTCCATTACCCTCATGGCCCTCCTTCCACTTCTGCTTAACCCTTTCTTCTCCTAAAAATATCCTGCTCCCATTTCTATCTCTTTTTTTTGTTGGTGTATATTGTTTTTTCTTTTTTTGTGATCTCTGGTTTGATTAAAGTCGCTGGGAATTGAACCTGGGTCTGCTGAAAGACCAACAACTGCTAAGCCAACTCTGGCCCTCATAACTGAGTCTCTTAATCAGGTGTTGGGAAGAATCTAGTGGAGAACTACTTAGATAATTTTACCATTATGTTCCAAGAATGGCTTTATGAAATAATATAGAAAACGTAACTAAGTTAAAAAAATAGATTGGTAAAATAATCAAAGCAAATGTAATAAACAGTTAAAATTGTGAAAAAGTAATATAAGCAAAGGAAATAAAATTTATATGTCATACTCAAGACAAAATGTAATTAATAATATTTAGCTCATCACTTAAAGTCTGTATCATAATAACATAAACATATTTTATTAGGCCAGCATATGCAAATTTTAAACACTGATAATTTTGTGTTTTGTGTGGTTAGACATGGCACATCTATTAGAACAAAAAATTATAACTCGATAGCTCTTTTAAAGGCTACTTAGATAATTTGTAAAAGTAAGTAATTTGATAATTTGTATCAAATAACTTAGAAATGCTTCTTTGAATGGGTATTGCTTTGATATATCCTCTGAAACAATTCCCTCTTCATAACTTTCTCACAGAAATAATTCTACATATTTAACATTTTATGTTTGAAACTATTTAGAATAGTTGCTTATGATAGTCAATATTCTATCTTATGCAGAAGGCTAAGTAAACTTTTGTTTCATTTGCTGGATAAAGCATTGGGAAATGTTTAGTATTTGTATGAACAGTAGTGGGTGAATAAGTGCTTATAATAAAGTATAAAGACACTGTTGTTCTGGAGGTAGTTCAGTGAAGTGCACGTACATGTATAGGTTCTGTCTCCAACACACTGACAAAAACAAGTATTTGTAATTTCAAATAAAACAAGAAAGGAATAGTGCACAGGTAGGTTTAAAAAACAGGCTAAACTTAGAAGAGAGTGCTCAGTCTATATCTTACGTATTTTGGAGCACATGAAGGTTATAGATGCATCTTCTGAGGCATGCATTTGGATAGTGCTCTTTGAAAAGTGTGTAGGAGGAGGCAACTTTTGTTGATTGGTAACTGTAGCCAGCTGCCCAGTCACTGTGTCAGCTTTGATTCCTCTGCTTTTTCTCACATGAACACCCAGGGGAGGCTCTGTGCTATTTTGGTGCTTGTTGAGAATGTTCAATCATACCCGTGCAAATCCACTCGTCTGGTCCACAGTGGTTGCCTCTGTATTATGTATGGTATTATATAATTTCTTTTTTAATAGTTCTGTTACTTCAGAAAATTTCTAGATGAGCATGGTATTTCTAAAGGCTTTATCTAGTTGGCAGTTAATAGTTTTGCATGGAACTTTCCCTTGTAAGGTATAATTTCCCCTTACAGTGTAAGAGAATCTGCTGATGCCAGCCAACCCTGTACATTTTCCTCTGGGTGTGCTGCTCCTTTCTATCTTATCTAGGACTTGGCTTAATGGATTCAGGGTTTGGATTTTGAACAGACAAAATACAGTTTTAGTAACTTGAATGTACTTATCCAATATGCTATAATACTTAAAGGGAAAATATTAAAATGCCCAAATACTTTTTTTAGTAGTTTACTTTCTTACTAAATTTAGAATATTAGTTTTTAATATTACCATTATCCCAACTTGGCTAAATTCAGTTCCATGCTTATATTTTTAGTTAACAAATTGCAGGAGTAATATTATTTGTCTTTTAAATCTAAAGCTGTCCAAATCTTCTGAAAAATAAAATTTTGAATAAAAACTTCTAGGACGAGGGATAGATGCTTATGTAAGTGTGAAAGACCCTGGGTAGGCAGCAAGATTGGGTCTGCTAGGAGTAAACAGGCGGGAGAGCATGGCAGATTCCTGCCTCCATACAGAGATATTTCTAGTCTTGAGTGCACTACAGATCCGTGAGTTTGAGGCAAGCTTGTTCTAAAAGAGCTAGTTCCAGGACAGCTAGGGCTGTTACACAAAGAAACCCTGTCTCAAAAACAAAAACAAAAAACCAACAAAAAGAGAGAGAGAGAAGCAACTGTATTCAACAACAAATCCATAGTGATTTTGAAGAAGTTATACATATGGTTTTGATTCTGTCATTTTTATTTTATATTGACTTCTGTATTTTTTATAGATTATCTTTCTCAAGGAGTAGATCTTTCTGGAATAGAAGTAATAGAGAATGATCTGCTCTTTATTGGAAGAGCACGACTTGAGGTGGAAAATCAAGCTAAGCGTCTGCTCGAGCACGGTGTGGACACCCAGGTAATAAATGTGAAAAATAACATATAGAAAAATCATTTTTATGTGGTGTATATATGTATTTCTGTGGAACATTCCAGTTTTGTCCAAGGCATCTTTTAGACTATATAGTAAGGTTAGTGATGCTGTTTTTCCATTTTATATAGATGATGAAATAGTTTAAAGAATTTGTTAGAGATTATAAACTAGTAAATGAAATGGTTTTATTAATTAAATTTATTCTTAGACAACTCTGCACACATGCACAATGTATATTGACCACTTTCATCTCCGGGTCCTTTGCACCAATCTCTTCTCACACTCGTGTCTCTTGGTTTTGCTCTGTGGCTCACAGATTGATCAGTGCTGTTTGTGTGGCCATGTGTTTAGAGATATCTACTGGAACTTGGTGTGCTCAGCAGTGGGTTCACAAAGTAAAGAAGCAATTCCTTCCATCTCAGAATCTACCAGTAGCCAATAGTCTTGGAGCCGCTCCTCTTGACTGGGAGTCCAGCGTGGATGACAGTGTACACTGTTGACTGCAGTGCTTACGGACAATCTACAGGATGCCAAGCTTTGCTCATTCAGATTTTTTAAATTTTCTTCTGTAAATGTACCACATTTTCTTTCCATTTCTATGTTGCTGGACATCTAGACTGGTTTGTTTTCTTAGCTATTGTGAATGATGAAGCAATAAAAACAGATGTACATGTTTCTGGTATGGTGACTTCTAGTCTTTATGATATATACCAAAAAGTGTTATTAGCTGTTTTTTTTTGTTTTTTTTTTTTTTGAGGAACAGCTTGCAGGGATTTCTTTTGTGACTGTGGTAGTTTGAATGTAATTGGCCCCCATAAGCTCATAGAGAGTGAAATTACTAGCTATGGCCTTGTTGGAGGATGTATGTCACTGTGGGAGTGGGTTTTGAGGTCTCATATATGCTCAAGCCATGTCCAGTGTGACAGACCCCTTCCTGTTGCCTGTGCAAGATGTAGAACTCTGAGCTACATCTCCAGCTCTATGTCTGCCTGTGTGCTGCCATGTCCCACCATGATGATAATGGACTGACCCTCTGGAATGTAAGCCACCTAATTAAATGTTTCTCTTTATCAGAGTTACCATGGTTGTGGTGCTTTTTCACTGCAGAACAAAACCCTAACTAAGACAGTGGCTAAACAAGGTTTAGTTCACCATTAGTGTATAACCTTCTCCCACTAACTCGCCAGAACTTGTTGTCATTTGTTGCCTTATGATAGCTGTTTTGACAGGGGTGAGATGAAATTTCAATACAGTTAATTGCATGCCCCTGATCGCAGAGGACTTTGAACACATTTCTAATACCTATTTGTTGCTTAAGTATTTAATTTTATATAAGCCCATTTGTGTTATCTGTTGAGCTATTAAGGTCCTTTTCGGAAAGTCCTGTCTACGCCTATCTCTTGAAGTATCTTCCCTTTAGTGACTCCATAATTTTGAGATCAAGTACTGGGACACCTCCAATATTGCTCTTTCTGTTTGGGGTTCCTTTTTTTTTCCAGTTCTGTAAGAAATGTAATTGGAATTTGATAGAGACTGCATTGGGTTTATAGTTGGTTTTGGTAACATGGCCTTTTTACAGTATGAATTCTACTAATCCTTGAGCATGAGTTTGGGAAGTCTTTCCAATCCTTTGGTGTCGTCTTCAGTTTTTTTCTGTAGCGTTTTAAGGTATTCATTGTAAAGGGCTTTTAGTTATTTGGTTAAGTTTATTTATACTTTTAGTGTTTTTGACACTATCGTGAATGGGAACTTTTCCTGAATTCTTTTGTAGCAAGCTTGTTATTAGTCTATAACAAGGCTACTAATTTTTCTGTGTTGACTTAGTATCCTACTCCTTTGCTGCAAGTATGTATCAGGTCTAAGAGTTTTCTAGTGGTGTCTTAAGAAACTTTTAAGTATAGGCCATGCCATCTGAAAATAGAGACTTTTACTCCTTCCTTTCCCATTTGTATCCTTTAGTTCCTTCTCTTACTGCTTTAGCTAAGACTCCGAGCGTTACATTGAATAAGGGTGGAGAGTGTGGGCACTCTTGTCTTGTCCCTGATTTTAGTTTTTCTATGTAGTCCTTATTATGTTTTGATGTGTGTTTTTTTTTTTTGGTTCCTAGTTTCTTTAGGACTTTCATCATGAAGGATGTAGAAATTTATGAAAGTTCCTTTCTGTGTCTGTTGAAATGATTGTGTCATTTCTGGTTTAAGAATATATATTACATTTATTGATTTTTTTAAAAAACCTTCATTGCTCTTTCTGTTGGTTATGGTTGTTTTCTATTATTTTTATTTTGTGTGCAGTGTTGATTTGCCTGCATGTATAGCTGTGTGAGGGAGTCTGATCCCCTGGAACTGGAGTTACCCCAGTTCTCCACAGTTGCTCTACAGTGCTATATATTTCACTCTGGACTGATGGGAGGTGTGATTTATTCTCCTAGATTAGTGGTGCTCCCTTTTCTCAGCACTCCTCGTAGTTCAGTTGATTCCCTCTCCAGATGGTCTTAAAATTAAAACCCTAATGTGATGACCCATCTGCTGGAAAAATCACCATCTCAGTGAAACTACACTGGATTTGAGTTTATATTGCTGTGAAGAGACACCATGCACCATGACATGACAGTGGTTTTTTTTGTTGTTGTTGTTGTTGTTGTTGTTTGAGGCAGGGTTTCTCTGTAGCTTTGGAGCCTGTCCTGGAACTAGCTCTTGTAGACAAGGCTGGCCTCGAACTGACAAAGATCTGCCTGCCTCTGCCTCCCGAGTGCTGGGATTAAAGGCGTGCGCCACCACCACCCGGCTGACAACTCTTTTTATTTTTTTTTAAAGATTTATTATTTCCACTCTTGTGCCATCACTGCCTCTCCTTTACTAAATCGTTGTCATCAGCACTCAGACAAGTATTTGTTCCACTCTCCCACGTTCTCCGCTTCTCGGTCTTGCAAGTCTCTACTTCTCTATGTCCCATCCCCCTCCCTTTTTTATTAGAACACAATATGCAGTTTTCAACTGTTGCATCCGCAAATCACCAAAATTACTGCCTGTATAACTAAAAATTGTTTTCAGTATTGACTAAAAGAGTTGTAGTACTTCAAGCCTGAAGTGCTACTGCAAAAGGAATTTTTGAAAATTTATAATATCTTATGGCTTCTTTTCTCTTGTTATACCAAATACCTGAAAAAAGGCAAATTAAGGGTCAAGGCTTACTCTGGTTTATGGATACGGCTCCTCATGGCAGTGCAAGCACGAGGGGGCTGCACCCAGGCAGAAAGAGAGTCAGAAAATGCTTAGATCCCTTCTACTTTTGATTCAGTGTAGGACCCTGGCTCATTGAACAGTGCTGTCTACATTCAGGGTGTCTCTTTGCTCCTTATTTACAACTCTGTGTATGTCCTTTGATTTCACCTCTGATGTGTCCTCCCCGCTGTACGCAGAGGTGTTGTGTCTTAGGAATTCCTATCACATTTACCATTACTTGTCTTTGGTATTCAGCTTCAAGTTACTTTCAAGAAAGTGCCTACCTTTTTTATTTAATATGAAGTTGATGACCACAATTTCAGTATTAGTGCTGTCTTTATCAGTTGTAACCTCTGTCATAGTTTAAGATTACTAGAAAATTTCTACCTTTGTTGTCTTCAAGGATTAGATGACTAAGCTATGGGAGATGAGTCTAATCTTCTCTCTCTCCTCTCTTTTCTCTCTCTCTCTCTCTCTCTCTCTCTCTCTCTCTCTCATTGCATAATGCAATCAGTTTAAATAGTTACTGTCTCATCACTTCATGTATCCAACCTTCCTCAAACAGTACCAGTCACACTCACCCAGCAGTAGCATTAGATATGCTGTGGCCATTTTCATTGAATGACTGTTATATGTACCCCTCCCAATGTCATATGCTGAAATCTTAATTCATAAGGTGTTGATATTAGGGGTGAGACCTCGAGGAAGTGATTAAGTGCTGTGGACTTAGTGCTCCCCTGTCCCTTATCCCACCCCTCACTTCACAGAGAATGCTTTTGCATCCTCTCTAACTTCATGAGGAGCATCCTGTTATCATGTCTCCCCCAGCACACACTGTATAGAGAACTCTGTTATCTGGCCCTTCACTTCATAGATTTGACTCTCTTATCCCACTTCTGACTTCTTGGAGAGCAGGTTCTTATTTCAATCTTCACTGCACGGGTAGTGCTCTCTTACCTGCTCTGACTTCATGGAGAGCTCTCTCTTGCACCTTTTGTCACATAGAATCACGGTGAAAAGACATACTGGTACAAATAGAAGGTGTGCCCTCACCACACATCCCATCTGCTGCGTCTTCGTTTAGACCAGCACTTCTCAACCTGTGGGTCGGTAGATAAACTCTTATTTCTCTCTAAATAAAAAACAGAAGCATATATAAGTAAGCTTCCAATGTCACCATTTTTTATTTAACATGAATAAGCCTTATAGTAAGAGCTTATTATTTCTATACACAAGCAATTTATAGTGGTATTACTGACACGACAGATTTTTGGAAGAACTGACACATTTTCTGGGGGAGTGTAGTAGACCCCAATATTAGGGCAAAATTGTACAGGAATCTCTCTTTCAGACATGGGGCAAGATCTGCCAGCCATCTTCAGAACTTCTTTACTCTGTGCTGTTGACCCTCCGAAGCTTTCAATGATGGGGATAGGGAGAGAAAATAGCATTTCAGCAGATTCCATTACTTGAAGCTTTAGCTAGCTTTCAAAAATAGGTGATGGAGATTTTGATGTGGATGAGTTCCTGCATCACCATAGATACCAGGCCCCCACAGGAAAATGATGACATTTTAATTAGCAAGATGGGTTTAACTTGTGAATTACAAGCTTTCCCAGTAAACAAGCGCAGAGCTTATGGAGACTGTGGTGGAGGAAAGTGATGTTCTTGTCTTCTGAGGTCATCAGTAAGGGGCTCATCATCGGCACTCAGTCGTTTTGGGAATTAGTTCCTGGCCATGACCCCAGTGACACACTGAACAGC